ATTTTCAGGTCGATTATTCTTATGTTAATTTAACCGTAATATTTTTACATCGTTAGATTTTTAAATATAAATAAAAATAAAAAAAAAAAAAGAAAAAACAAAAGAATGAGAAATTATTTTCTAATATATTCCTTTAATATTCTAATTTTTGTTATTTGATGTATATAATCGAAACCATCATAGACTATAGTTGAATATTATCCTAGACTAAGTGTATATATATATATATATATATATATATATATATATATATATATATAATTATTAAATAAGAAACGTGCTGTTAAGAAAAGGATCTTTCTGAAAGGAAGTACTAGATATCTAAGTTTTCTATATGTTAGACTAATCTTAAAGATGCTATAGTGGGATTATTTTCTAATAAGTGCCTAAGAAAGAGAAGAAAGATCGACTTGTGTGATAGTGTGTTCTGACATAAGCACAACCGTTGTTGCATCGTTTATTTTAAAAGATAAGGAAAATAAATAAACAAATGAATAAATAAATAAATAAAAATTGCAATGAAATAAGAATTGATTATTTTATTTTTCTAACGAAAAGTGCTTTTCAATTACACTTCTCAAACTTTATTTTTAATTAAACGATCAACGACCATTGTGCTGCTTTTCATTGCAGTGAGATTTGTGACTGTTTAAGAGAGAATTAAAATTAAATATAAAATGTAAAAAAATGCATACGCGTATGCGAGTTGAAAAATGAATGGTGTAAAGTGTTAATATCGAGTGAGTGAGTGAGTGGTGAGTGAGTGAGTGAGTGAGTGAGTGAGTGAGTGAGTGAGTGAGTGAGTGAGTGAGTGAGTGAATAGGCGAGTGTGATAGAAAGAGATGTGATAGAAGAGATTGTAGAAAAAAACAAGAACGAAAGAAATAAATAAAGAAAGAGAAAAAAAAAATTAATAAATAAAGTAGTATGCAGATGTGCAAGATCAAAGACACAATAGAGCATTTTTATATTAAATTTATAATATAATATTTCCATTTATAACATTAATTTCTAAATACTCGCTTATTTTAAATAATCGCTTATGTGTCTTCGCATTTTGATAAAGAAAGATAGATAAATAGAGAAAGAGACAGAGATAAGAGATAGAGAGAGAGAGAGAGAGAGAGAGAGAGAGAGAGAGAGAAAGAGAGAGTGAGACAGAGTGATTGAAAGAGAGAGAGAGAGAGAGTGAGAAAGAGTGATTGAGAGAGAGAGAGAGAGTGAGAGAAAGAGAAAGTATGATATGAGAAGTATTATTTTTTTTTACAATCAAATGAAGCATAGTTACAAAAGACTCGTTTTTTTTTTTTTTACCATTCATCTAAATTTTTAATTGAGCATGTAACGTCTTAATTCTTCTTTAAGAAGTATTTATTTATAATCGTTAATAAAAATATCAATTATTATTAAAAATAAGAAAAGAAAAAAATAATGAAAAAGTAGAAAAAGAAACGAGCGTTTTACAAAATGCGATGAAGTAATATATATATATATATATATATATATATATATATATATGTGAGTGTGTGTGTGTGTGAAAATATGTATATATATATAAATGGTGTATAATATATAATAAAGGAAAATGAATAAATATTAAAAATGAAAAAGAAAATATGATATAAAGATGATATAAGTAAGAGAAAAAGTAAGTACTACCGCCTGGGCTGCAGGACTTTGCCCAGCATTATCGTTATCGATAAGATCGTTATCGTTCTGTAAAAGAAAAGAAAAAAGACACAAAGAGATGATTGAGAGCTGCGTGAACATCCTCTTGTCTGGGTAGTTATTATATAAGTATTAAAAGTCCACTATGTATCGGGTACGCCTACTATAATAGAAACGAAATAAAAAATCGTATCTAAAGAAAGAAAAAAAAAAGAAAAAAAAAAAAGAAATAAAAAAAAAAATCGTATTTCGTCCATTGATAATGAACTTTCAAATCTCGTATCGATAGTATATTACTCTTCTAAAATATCATTTAAGAGATAAAATTAATTAAGAGATAAACAGGTTACAAATTCAACTGATAGAATCTTTTCTTTTTTTTTCTTCTTCTTCTTCTAACATTACTAATCTTAATGATCATTCATTCAGAAAAAAAAAGGAAAAAAAAATAAAGAGGAAAAAAAAAAGAAAGAAAAAAGAAACGAAAAATCACAATTTCTTAACTATCTATTAACATTAAGTAATTCTTATTTTCGTGTCGATTCATCCGTTGGGCATAAAAAGATAGAAAAATGATCGATAATAATTACGTTCGAAGAATTAGAGAAATCGTATCGATTGGATATATTACGTGGAAAATAAAAAAAAAAAAAAAAAAGTAGAAAGAAGAAAAAAAAAGAAAAGAAAAAGAAAATACATAACGAGAAGACTTATCTATGATATTCGATAGAAAAATTTCTATGCATATGTTTATTGATTTTTCACGTTGATGACAAAACATTTAATTAATATTAATGTTTTAATTAAATTAATTGAATGGAACAACGGATGCATCGACTCGGGATAGTCTACTACATACATATATATATATATATATATATATATATATATATATATATATATATATGTATGTTAGGTTTCTAATTGAAAATTATATATCGTTCAGGAAGGGTCCACACATCGAACTGCTTCTACGGATATTGACTTGTGCTAAAATTCGAGAGTTATGTATGGGTAAAAAAAAGAAAAAAAAAAAGAAAAGAATAAAAGAAAAAATATCAATCTTTCTTTTTTTCTTTTCTTTTCTCTTCTTGTTTTGTTTTTCTTTCTTTTTCTTTTTTTTTTTTCTTTCTTTCTTTTCTGTTTCAAATCCTAAAATTCAACTCAATCAAATTAACAAATGCTTGCCGTCCCAATAAAGAAATCTTATTCAAAAATATTCATCGTATTTCAATCGAATATTACAGGACTATCGATCGAAAAGTATATTTTTTTCTTTTTTTCTTCGGGGGTGGGGGGGGATTTTTTTTCCTTTTTTTTTCTTTTTCTTTTCTCTCCATACGCGACAAAATACGCGAGATTCATTCAGTGGGATGGTAAAAAATCGAAATCTAACACTTTCGATATTTATTATATTCCTATTCAGATACATATGAATCTTTGAAAATTCTCAGCACTACTCAGCACACATAAGTAAAATGGGTATAATAGCGTCAGAAAAATTGGGATTATTGTAAAAGGGATGGCTGTTGGGGTTATGTGGGGCGGTGGGAGTGGAGGGTGGGAGGAAGGTGTTTAGGAGTTGAGAAATAAAAGATCGTAAGATCGTTCGAGTTCAATGTTCGATCGATATGATCTCTTTTTCTTTTTCCCGTTTATTTCCACTTTGTCTCTTTGTTTTGTTTTTTGTTTTTTTTTTGTTTTTCTTTAATTTCTTTTCATAAAAATTCCCCGCCCGCCCTCCCCACCCCCCAAAAATAAAAGAAAAAAAGAAAAAGAGGAAAAAGAAAAGAAAAAACTTACGATCGAATTTACATTGAATTTCGAGCGTTCTAACAGTTTGAAAATTGGATTGCTATCGAGCTACTTTGGATTTAGGTGGAAATTCGCTATTTGAAAAATCTTTACTCGAACCGGCCGTGTGAAAATCCTACCACGAAAAAGCCAACGACAAAAACATCCACTTTTTAATTTGATCCACCCGATCCTCATCGAATCTTCCATAATCGTATTCAAACAATACTTCCATTGTCTTATTTTAATATTCGACTTGGCAAAGAACGATTATATTTAATCCCATCGAATCTCCGAGAATATATTGTCTTTGTTTTTCTTTTTCTTTCTTATTTTCTTCTTCTTTCTTTTTTTTTTTTTTTTGTTGTTGTTGCAAACGACAAGTGGAAGTACGTTAAAGACGAACGGAAGTTGAAGAACGGCGAGGATCTTTCAAATAGACTTAAATTTATCGTTCTTACACGTTGATTAAATTAAAACGCGTTCGATGAATGACTTACCTGTCCGGATGGCTTTTCCCGACCGAACTTCGTCGTCTTCCAATTTTCAATAATCATGAGAGCGACGTATATCTTACCGACGGTGAGCTTTCCTCTGCCTACCTCTAAAATGACAAGACGAATGATAAAAAGAAGAAGAAAGCAAAAAAAAAAAATAATAATAATAATAATAACAATAATAAGAAAAGAAAAAAAAAAGAAAAAGAAGACATGAAGATATAAGAAATATTCAAAGTAATCATCGAAAATGAAAATGCATTTACGCAAGTATATACGGAATCAAAAAATTTCAAGGATGAAAACTTGCCTTCGTCTCTAGGTATCAAAAGGTCCAACATCTTTTTCGCTTGCAGAGGCCAGATACTACGAATCGTATCTCTGAGCTCCTCGTTCGCTTGTTTCATCTCATTGGCTGTAAGAGATAAACAGTAAAAGGAAAAAAAAAAAAATATATATATATATACATATATATGAGTCGTTGATTTTGAAAGTGAGGCAAGTTCTTATGAAGAAAAAAAAAAAAGAAAAAAAGAAATAATTAAAGCTAATTCTCTTATTACGAATTAACATAAAATTTATCCTTTTCAATTAATTGACAATAAATATCTTTTAATATTTATAATATAAATTATAATAGTAATTTGTTACTGATAATTTATTTCAACAATGATATATTTATTGCCAATTGATATTAAAAGTAAGACAAGTCCATTTGGAACTTGCATAACAAAACTATGATTTTTTTCTTTTTTTTTTTTATTTATCTAACACGAATAGCCATTATTATATATTAAATTTACATGAAATAAGATCATGAAAAAATATAAAATAATATAAAATATAAAGAATAAGTCTATTACTGTTTATCCATATTTTTAAATCCATTCAAATGGGAACCATTAAATATTTAGCGATAATATAAAATGGACTTGCTCCATTTTTTTTTTTTAAATCAACGACTCATACATACATACATATATATATATATATATCACGAATAAGATTGGTATGACGATAAGAAGAAAAAAAAAATAAATAAATAAATAAAAAGAATTACTAACCGCATCTCATTTTAATACTAAGATCCTCTCGTATCAGTGCGAATAGCGTTGTTGTAAAGTTGACCTTCCCGTCAGAATCAACGGGCATGTTCATTCTAATGAGTTTTTTGTAAGCGAGCCTGTTAGGACACTTTTGGCCAAACCCCAATGGCGGATCCATAACCTTAAGCATATCGTAGACCTCATTGTAGAGTACCTTACCGGTTGCCTTTGGATCGTATTCCGCCCATATTCGCACGAATTCATCGAGATGATGCGCGCCGAGAATTGACGAGTCTCTCGTTAAATAATCAAAATTGTCCATTATAACGGCGACGAAAAGATTCAGCATTAAAAACGAGCAGAAAAAGATGAACGAGACGAAGTAGGCATAGGCGATATTAGAACCGCAACCACCTGGTTCCTGTTTCCCTGCTTTAACGTCGCAAGGTCGACCCTTTATGCAGGCCAACATGATGTTCGGCCAAGCTTCTCCAGTTGCACACCTACGAGATACATTTCAATATATTAGACGAATATTAACGTTCCTTTTATATACTAATCGATCATGATATCTTTGCGATAAGAGAATATTCTTTTAGTTTTATTTTCTCTTTTGTTTTTACTTTCTTCACTTTTTACTTTTTACATTCTTTTTTTTTTTTTTTTTTTTTTTTTTTATTAACGACATGCAAATCAGTTCAAATCCTTCGAAGATACGAGGGAACAAAATTATAGTGATTGATAATTTTATTTTATTTTTTTTTTCCTTTCCTTTTCTTTTTTTTTTTCTTTTTTTTCTTTTTTTGATATATTTATCTATTAAACTTCTTCGCGTACACCTACGAGATTAAAATATTATTATTATTATTATTATTATTATTATTATTATTATTATTATTATTATTATTATTATTACATAGATACTGTATTTGTATATGAAATGATTCAAGGATAGAAATCATCAGAATGTATTATTTTGCTTCTCGAGTATCCTCGAAAGAAATAGAAGGAGAACGAAAGAATTGTTTAAAAAATTCTTATTTACACGTATAATATAATATAATATAATAGAAGGGATTCAAGAGATCTGAATTCAATAGATCGAAGGTTTAAGCTTTCGTACTTGGTTCATATTGGCAAGGATATTTACGTTAAGATATTACGACGTTCTCTGTTCTATGATAAGATGTTATTTAGAATGTTATTTAGAAAATCGACTTAATATTAGTTACTTGATATCGTCGTAATATCTAAATATATATATACATATATATATATATATATATAGATAAATATATATATATATATATAGATACAGCATGCATCTTATTCAAGGATACAAAGCAACACCAAAAGCGATAAGATAATAATATATTATCTAATTATCTATCATCTAATCTATCAAACTCGATGTTTCTATTTGAATTTGCCGATATGTGCGTGACTCTGCCCTTCGGATTTAATTTTTTTTTTTTTTATTCTTCTTTGATGTCTAAGAAATAAGAATTATTTTGTATAATTAAAAAAGAAACAAAACAATACAAAACAAAAAATATATATATATATGTATATAAAAAACAATCAAAAAAGAAAATTACAAAAAAAAAAAGAAAAAGAAAATACATATATATACATATGCGTGTGTCGTTGTCCTTTATTCAAGGATCGATATTGAATCGATGTGGCGTTAAAAAGATAAGGTGCATGTTGTGCATAATATTTATATTTTATAACATTCGATTCTATCGATAGAATCAATAAAACGTGATAGAGATTACGTTTTGACGATACTTACCGAAAAAGTAGCATCAGACCTTGAATGAAGCTTTGGAAATTGTTGTGCTTGTTAATAGAACTGTCAGCACCCAGCTCGATGTTACCGAATACCTGAGACCCACAGAAATAAGTGAGCCAGCCGCAACCAATAGGGCGATAGCAGCATTTTTATTCACGGACGTTCATTTTTATTTCTTTTGTCTTTGCCTCTTTTGTTGTGTTACTATTTTCTTTTTTTTTAGTTTTTTTTCTTTTTTTTTTTTTTTAATCTCTCATACTTCTTTTCCAAATTCTCGTCTTTTGTTTTTTTTCATTTTCTTTTTTCGTCTTTTCTATTTTTTCCGGTTCTTTCTTTTATTTATTTATTTTCTTTTCTTTTCTTCTTTTATCGTGTTTACGAGAATAACCACGATAAAATTGACGTAATCAAATATATTTTATCGAATATATATATATATACGTATTAAAGTCAAATCTAATTTTCTTTCTTTTTATATACATATATATATATATATATAAATTTTTTTTTAAAGACGTAAATGACTTAATATCGTCTTCCGGGTTGTATTTTCTCTCGCTGGATGACCGAAAATGTCTCTCTGTTCGACTGCTATGATCCTTAAGTAAAAAACTACTAAGTAGAGATGAGATAATAGGAACTAATCTAGGAATGCTTGAACGATATCAAACGTAAATAGACGTAAAGTTAAATAATCATTTAAAACCCAACGAGTAATCGTATTGTATTAATTTATATCCTACATACATACAAATATATATATATATATATAAATATATATATATATGTATGTATGTATATATATGTGATATTATAATGTCGGTGTAATTGTGTATCTGTTTGTGTATAAATGTAAATTACGACAAAGAGTCCTTCTAAGTATACTGATCTACCACATTTAATTGGGATCTATGATATACGTTAGACTTGTATTTTACTTTCTAAATAATATGTATATACATATATATATATATATATATATATATATATATATATACATACATATACATATACTCATGTACTCGAAAGAATCGCATGATTCTAAAAAAAAATATTTGTTATCGATTATAACTTCGTTGTAAATTTTTTTCATGAATTCGATATATCTCGGAAGGATTCTTTCGAGCTTATGAAATATGTTATTATCGTCGACGCCAAAGCTATAACGCAAGCATTACTATGGGACCAACTCTCTATGGGACAGCTAATTGCGGGGGTTACAACAACTTGACACGTCGAGCAGCTTACTCTCGTGAAACCTCATGCTAGCAGCCCAATATACTCTCGTTCTCTATAAATCTTTTTGTTTCTTGTTTCCTTTTTTTTATTTTTTTTATTTTTTTTATTTTTTTTCTTTATTTTTCGATTTATTCGTTTCTTTTTCTTCCTTTCCTTTTTCTTTTTTTTTTTTTTTTCTTTTTACGACGACCAAAAAACTTTCACCGCCCCTCCGCCCCCCTCCCCTTTTTTTTTTTCGTACCTTTTATTACGACGTCGTTCTCTGCCGTCACGCGATATATTTCGCGATGTTTTTCGAACCTCGTAAAAACGAAAAAGAAAGAAGAGAAAAGAAAAAAGAAAAAGAAGGCAGAAAGAAAGAAAGAAAGAAAGGAAGGAAGGAAGGAGGAAGAAGAAGAAAAACAAAGAGGAAGAAGACGTAGAAACGTAAGAGAACAAAAATGTTACTCGATTAAATCTTTATAAAAATTATCAAAGCAAATTTTCAATATTCGATTTATATTAAAAAGATTCGATGATATAATATCGAGATACGATCTTTTTAATTGATCGTCGTTCGTTAAACATCGCGAAAGATCACGTGTAATGTTTTCGAATGGATACGTATCGTTAAAATTGTTCGATTCGTCGACGAATATTCAAACGGGGGTTTTTTTTTTTTTCTTTTTTTCTTTTCATTATACGAATAAAATTTCACGCGTTAATATCTCTCGTCTCGAAATGGAAAAAAATAAAGAAATTTTTTAACGATCCCCTTCGTTTTCTAGTTTTCTTTGGTTTTATTTTTTTTTTCTTTTTTCTTTTTTCCTTACTTCTTTGTTTTTTTTTTGTTTCTTTCTCTCTCTCTCTCTCTCTCTCTCTCTCTCTCTCTCTCTCCTCGACTAAAGGAAACAATTAATCGAATCGTTCGATTCGATTGGTCGTTGAAAATCCCTCAAGATTTCTCTTATCCTCGAACCTGCAGTGTATTTAGCTGCTCGACTCACCGAAAAAGCAACATAAGACCGGCGAAGAAGGACTGAAAGTTGTTGTGATCATCGATCGATGTTCCTGGATCGTTCGATATATTTCCAAAGACCTGACAACGGAATTTCTCAATCACTAATTATCACCAAACTTCAATGTCATTTAACTCAATCCCTTTTCTTTCTTTTTTTTTTCTTTTTCTTGTCTTTTTTTCTCTTTTTTTTGGTTTATTATAAAAAAAAAAAAAAAAAACTAACGGAACGATATAATCATACCCTTTGCATTTTGAGTGCATTTCTCACAAAATGACGAACTGAATACATAGGGAAAAAAAAAACAAAATAAAAACCAACACGTAGTTATCCTATCAATCGAGTCAAGTATATCTCTTTTCTTTTTTTTATCCCCCTATCATATCAACCTAACTATATATATATACGTACATATATATATATATATATATTTATATATGTATGTATATATATATATATCTACTTGATAAAATTAATTGATCGGTCCGACAAATCGTGTAATAAATAAGTAAATTAAGTTAATAAGTATATATATATATGTATAAAATGTACATATATCCTATATAAGATTGGTCCCAGTATGTTGCAAAACGCGCGAGAAGAAGGAGAAAAGAGAGAGGACACGTTCTTTCGTACCTGCATACCGATGATGGCGTAGATGAAAAAGAGCATCGCGATGAGGAGACAAACGTAAGGCAAGGCCTGAAAGAAAATAATAATAATAAGAAGAAAAGAAAAGAAAAACAAAAAAAAAAAAAAAAAAAAAAGAAAAAGAAAAAAAAGAAAGAAAGAACGGAAAATTAACTCAACAATTATTATCATATCGTGTGATATCGTTTCAAAATTCATATCTATATGAAATTTTATTCTTAAAGTTTTTTTTTCCTCGATTAAATATTATTTAAGTGCACAGCTTGAAATTATTTTGAAGATGCGCACAATTTGAAATTATTTTGAAGATGCGCACAATTTGACATTATTTTGAAGATGCGCACGATTAGGATTAATATCGATGTTATCAATTTTTTTTCTTTTTTTTTTTTTTTTTTTTTCTTTTTTTTTTTTTGTTGAATTTGTAATACCTTAATGACGATTTTAATAAAATTACGATGATAATTTATTCATTTTCAGGTACTTTACCTATACGTATATCTATATATATATATATACGTACTTTGAAGGATTGCACGAAGGTCCAGAGTAAAATTCGTATCGTGTATCCCTGTCGTAGCAGCTTGATCAGTCTGGCGGCACGAAAGAGCCTAAGAAAGCCGACGTTGATGAAATTCTCCTGCAGGGGACAAAGGAAATTGCACTTAACCCAAAAGGATTGTCCATCTTTAAACGTTCTAAATGGTTAAACGTAGCTTCGTGCGTACAACGTCGACCAACAAGAAAAGAACGGATCGTTCGTTCGATGATCTATAATATATTCGATCGATAATCTCACCTTTGCTCGATAGCCAAAACAATGCACGAACGAAGCTATTTTTTAAAAAAAAGGAATTGTTTTTATGCTTTTTATTTTTTCTTCTCTTATTTATTTAATTTAATTTCTTTTTTTCTTTCTTTTATTCCATTAATTTTTCTTCTTCTTTTTCTTCTTCTTCTTCTTTTTTTTCTTTTCTTTTTTAACTTCCTCGTTTCTTTCGATTCTTTTCTTTCTTTCATTTCTCTTTTTTTTTTTTCTCTATTTACAACAATGAAATTACTTTTTCCACTTTCTACGAGGTGTAACAACATCGGACGAACAACTATTGTCAATCGCACGCATTCTTTCACCTCGACGAAAGTACGATCACTAATGAGTAAACTAATTAATTGTTATCTTAATTAATTACCGTTACAACCCCTTTGCCGCGACCGAGAAGAGAAGATAATATAATACACGTATATTGTTCATATTTATTTCATATTTTTCCTCTCTTCCGTCTTTGCTGCACCGATAGCCGCCATTATATTTTATCGTGGCTTTCATGTTAATAATAATGATGAATGATGATGAATGATGATGAATGATGATGAATGATGATGATGATAATAATTAATGATAACGATCATGAAGTATTTAAAAAAATACGTACGAATATATGTATACGTAAGTATATATATGTATGTATGTATATATATATATATATGCATATGTATGTATGTATGTATGTATGTATGTACATATGTATAATGATATGAATGAAGATGTAAAATGTAGATAAAAAAGGGGGATAAGTGTGTAATACATGTAAAAATATAGTTGTATGTGGTTTTTTTTTTCTCTTGCTTATGCTATATAGAGGTATTATAGTGAACAAGATAGTAAAAGAGGTTAATATAGCTTATAAAAAGAGATAGGTATATATATATATATATATATATAATATACAATTATAATATAGAGAACCGATCCGATGGTCAATATTATATTGAATGATGCAAATAATATACGAATTAATTGATACCTTCTTTTCGCTTAGCTGGCCACCACTTGGCACACTCGAAAACCGCTCCTATTACAGAAATATTGAACGTTGCGATAATTATTATCTTTTATCGTTCGTATCCTTTTTTACAATTATTCAAAACGTACATACACTGATCATTTAACTTTCTGGCCTTTACAACACAAAAGCTCTAGCGTGTGTTCCAATTTTTTTTTCTCTTCTTTTTTCTTTTTCTTTTTGTTTTTTTTTTTTTTTTTCTTTTTTTTTTTTTTTTATCTCTTGAACAAAGTACAGGAAGATACGCAATAGACTGGCGATACTGGCTATTACCGAGCAAGCAAATTACTTACTAGATATTGATATGACGATGTATAAAAATCTACTGGATTTAAGAAATATATATGTATCTATATATATATATATATTGAATTGATCAATTTACTATTTAATTAACTTAAGATTTTAACCTTTTTATTCTTCTTCTTTTTTTTCTTTCTTTCTTTCTTTCTTTCTTTCTTCTTTCTTTTTTTTTCTTTTTCTTTTTCTTTTTTCTTTTTTTCTTTTTTTCTTTTTTTTTATTTTTTATATATATATATATTCAAATCGCAACGTTTAACAATCGTTACAAATAATTATGTGTTGAAATGCGTAATAATAATTGTGTATATGTATATTTGTAAATGTTTTCATATTGTTGTCGTTAACGTATCAATGAACGATGAGAGATATATTATTATTATGTATTTATATACTTATGTAGCGTACAAATGCAGCGTATACGGCTGGGATAAAGAAAGAAAATAGGAATATACAAAAGGCATCATTTTAAATCGGCTTTAACTTTGCTCTTTTGCTAGCATTGAAATATTTTTAAATATCGACAAGGAGCAGCAAAAGGGTTTACTGGAAATAATGCAATAATCTTGCCCTTTTGTCCAAATTGACAAATGATTTAACGTTTATTATTATTGTAACGTAACGTTAATATATTACGTATTACATTAATATATTTGTATATAATTAAGAAAATCGTTAAATCGATTGAAGAGATTTATATCTTAGGAGAAAAGGGCTCGTGATAGGCGTACACGAAGCAATGGATTATACGAAATCCACGTGAAAATCGATAAAATTGCAATCGAATCAAAATTCGAACAATGTAATATTATGCTCGATAATAATGAAAATAGCCTAAATGTATTGAAATATCAAAGATTTTTTTTCTGTTTTTTCTCTTCTTTTTTTCTTTTTTTTTTTTTTTTGTTTTAATTTTAATACGTTATCATTTCTTTCGCATCTTATCGAACTATATTATACATTACACCTTATACATATAAAATAAAAGAAAACGTACTATTTATATATATATGCATATATGTGTATAAATATATATATATATATATATATATATATATATATATATTTTTTTACTTAGGCCACTTTCGTATTAATAATCGACATATATCTTTAGATACTTTTAAAGATTCTCCATGAAAAAGATATATAGATAGATAGATAGAGATAGAGAGTGGGAGAGAGAGAGAGAGAGAGAGAGAGAGAGAATATGTATCTTAATTTATATTATTTAAATAATATCTAATATATTTCAAAGCTCTACTTACCCCGAATTCGATGACAAGTGCGTCCACGATGCTGCCGATCACCGTAATGAAGTCGAACGTGTTCCAAGAATCCTTGAAGAAGTTCTAACGTCGAGAGGATATAATCAAATTAAATAAATAAATATATTGTATATATAGATATATATATATAAATATATATATATATATATATATATATATGTTAGTATCACATTTAATTGAGTGTTAGAAAACGATCGAGAACACTGTTGATCGTTCCGAAGCTTCCACGATACTAAAACGTATTTTTCTTAGTAGTATTATACTTACGAGAATCTCGGTTGAAATGTTATTGTGAGAACAAAAGAAGAAAAAAAAAACAAAAATATTGAGAGGAACCTTCGGAACGTTCATCGTGATGTTTCGTGTTTATGTATGTATATATGTAAGGGCTATTATCGATCGATAAATTACGCCTATTTCGATTTCGTGGAAAAAATATATGTAAAGGAGCGCGATTTCGTGGAAAAATAATTTATAATTTATTATAATAGACGCGAATATTTTTTATAATATATAACTTTTTCATCTTCTTTTTCTTTTTTTTCTCTTTACGGCTTTTTCGCTTTTCTTTACTTTATTTTCTTTCGTTTCTTTTCTTTTTTCTTTTTTCTTTTTTTTTGTTTCTTTTTTCTTTTCCATTTATAATTCACGCGACTGGTGTATATCTATGTTTTGTGTGTAAATATGTGCGTGTATTATTTTTCTCTTGTGTGTAGTGTGTTTGTGTATGTGTAAGTGCGTGCACGTGTTAGTACGTACGTGTAAAATAAGTAAGGTGAGGCCTCACACGAGCGTGTGTCGTACTAATTAATCTAATTACCGATGTAATTCGGTTGTGTGTGATTAGGTGCTTTTCCTAGAGATGTGTAAAATGAGAAAAATTTTCCGCATCTCTTGGTCAATTTCGATGATTATTTGTAATTACAAAAAAAAAAAAAAAAAAAAAAAGAAGAAAGAAAAAAAAAGAAATATATATATGTGTATATATATATATATATTTCTTTCTCTTTTTTTTTCCCCCCATTACTCCAATACATTTGCAAAAATCTTTCCTTCCTCCATGCATCTTTTGAAATATCGTAGTACACATTAACAAAATTAGACTAAAAGATGCGGTTTTTTTTTATATATATATATAAAGTGATTGTATGATAATACTGTAATCGTACGCACTAGTGATCGATGATCTCGACTGAAGTATATATAATAATAATCATAATAATCATGAAAATAATAATAACAATAATAATAATAATAATAATAATATTAATATTAATAATATTAATAATAAAATGATAATAGTAATAATGATAATAATAACAACAACAACAATAATAATAATAATAATAATAATAATAATAATAATAATAATAATAATAATAATAATAATAATAATAATAGTAATAATAATAATAATAATGATGATGATGATGATGATGATGATGATGATGATGCTGATGATGATAATAAAAATAGTAATAATAATAATAATAATAATAATAGTAATAAGTGATGGGATATTTTTTAAAGAAATGATCTACGGGAGCATGCCGGTAATAGAAAGCAAACTAGAGAGAGAGGTAGAAATACGCGAATTTCTTTTTCCTTTTTTCTTTTTTTTTTTTTTTTTTTGTATTTTTTTCACATTCTTTTTTTTTCTTTTTTTTCTTTTTTTTTTATGCACGTTCACACCAGAAAAATAGGCCTTTTATTTTGTTTCATTTTTTCTCTTCTTTCTTTCCGTTTTCTTTTCTTTTTTTTTTCTTTTTTTTTCTTTTTTTGTTTTTTTCTCTTCTTCTATTTTCCTCTTTTAACGAGAAAAGTACATACGTCATATTAAATAAAGAACTTGATTAGACGTTATAATTAAACTAAGTAATCTAATTAAGGACAAGCGAGATAAAAAAAAGGGTCTCTATTTCTAATTCTATTACTATCGTAAATAATCTTAATGATTAACTATCGGCAAATAATTTGATTGACTTAAGTATATATGAAAAATAATTTCTCCTTTTTTTCTGGCGTTCAACTTGTTACACACTCGATCTCGATCTTTCGGCACAATATATCGATTTCGATTTACTCGTTTCGGATATTTCAACGGCAGACAATTAATAGAAAAATATACGATATATTTATTATATGGGCCACGATCGGATCGTGCATCGTTTTGCTTTACGATCGACGCCGATCGATGCGTGCTATTTTTCTATTTTTCTTTATCTTTTTTTCTTTTTTTTTTTTTTTTTATCATCAGTTTTCCTCCCTCTCCACCAGTTTTATTTTTTCTTTTTTTTTTTTTTCAAATCGATCCCATTCGACCTCGTCAAAGTACGATCACCTATCGATTGTAATAATTAAACATTAATTGTTAATAATCGTGCTAACCCCGATACTATTTTATGTACATACATATATAACCGAGTTATACATATATATATATATATATATGTGTATGTTTGTGTGTGTATGTGCGTGCACGTTTTAGACACATACATACATATACATACATACATACATACATACATACATAGATGCATACATATATGTATATATAGAAAATCGTTATATAAAAATAAAAATATATATATATGTATATATATATATATATATATATATATATATATATATATAAAATAGAGATATAATTGCGTGTGAATTAAAACAGTGAAGATTTGAATGATTAAGAGGCTTGTTTATACCTTGCATCCGAAGGCGATGAGTTTAAGGATGCACTCAATGAGAAAAAGGAGGGTGACGACCAAGTTCACGATGGTCAAGATGTCCAATAGTATTAGCGGCGCCTCGTGATACTACAAAATACACCCAACAGACAGACGTAACAAAAGCCAGCTTCTAATTGTAGTCATTGACGGCCCGAGTATATACAATAATTTATAAAATCTAATATATGTATCCATTAATACATATATGTACGTGCGTGTATTATTTTCTTTCTTTCTTTTTTTTTTATTTTTTTTATTTTTTTTTTTAATATCAATCATATATACACCCCCGTACACTCTCGTCTCTTTCTCTAATCTTCCTTAATTTTCTATTTTTTTTTTCTTTTTTTCTTCCTTTTTTTTTTTTTTTTCTTGTCTTTATTTTCCCTTCATTTCACGGTCCATATTACTTTTCATTCATTATTCTTGTTATTATGTTTCTATTTTTTTTTTTTATATAACATCATCGGACAATATAATCGTGTGTCTCGATTAAATTTATTCTTTATCATTTTTATTTGTTCATTTATCTTTCTTTTTTCTTTTTCTTTTTTCTCTGATCTCGCTTAAGACGTAAGTTCTTCTTATCCTGATCTTTCTCTTATTTTACTTTTTTCTTTTTTTCCTTCTCTCTTTTTTTCTTTTTTTTTTTTCTTTTTTTTTCCTTTTAAAAGTACCGATCAAACTTTTTCTCGCACGATGCTGTTTCACAGTATCAAACGATTTATTTATCCTCCTTCCCCGTTAATGATCAAATGCATAGTATAATATGTATATATGTCTGTATATATATATATATATATATATATATATATATATGTTTATGTATCCACATGTGTGTACGTATATGTAAAATACTTTCAATATTCTGCTGGAATGGTTCGATAAAGTTTTCTTTTTCTTATCCTTTTAAACTCGGCAGGACTTATCGCTTAAATCCATTAGACCGTGTCACTAATTTAATATTAACCGATTAAATCGAAACTCGTAGGATCGTTTAAAAGGACGGAAGAATTTTCTTTCGAAAGAGGAGAAAAGAAAATAAAAAAAAAAAAAAAAAAAATAACTTAGCTGATCCATTCAACACAAAGACATGAGGTTTAATACACGAGGCAGAATTCACTACGCTATCGAAAGAAGAAAAAAATATGATACGAGTGTAAGAATAAGACGAGAGATAATCGTTGATAATGAAAGAACGAAAGAAATAGAAAAAAAAAAGAGAGAGAGAGAGAGAGAGAGAGAGAGAGAATAATAAAACAAATAAAAATACAAACGTCAAATAAAATCATCGACGTCATCGATGATCGTCGTTGGATTCTGCCTTGATCACTTTTCTTTTTTTTTTTTTTATTCTTTACCGCGTATGATTCTTTTGATTATTTTATACGCACATATACACACTCACACACACGCACACATATATATATATATATATGTACATAGCATAGGTATTTATTTATTTCTTATTTTTTTTTATTATATAAATGTCATTTGATTCGCACACGATATCGAGCAAATCTAATTAATTTGTCACACAGGAAAAGAGAAAGAGAGAGAGAGAGAGAGAGAGAGAGAAAGAGAGAGAGAGAGAGAGAGAGAAAGAGAGTGAATTCAAACTTCCTTCCCTTTGTATTTTTCTTTTTTTTTTTTTTT